CATTCCTGTAGTGCACGACATATATGTGAGGCCCCCCTGTACATTCTCCTTTACAACAGTCATCACACTTGATAACTCATTGTTTGATATCTGTTTCCCCATAGACTGCAAGCTATGGTACTGTGTACCAGAGAGGCACTGTTCTAGGAGTTTGAAATGTGTCAGGAAATAAAATAAAGATCCTTATCTTTTGTTTATTTGGCACTGCACCCCTAGAACCTACCAGAGGGTCTGGCACCCACTGGTTCTCAATAAATGTTTACTGAATGAATAAATGAATCAATTAGGAGGGGCAGGTAGAAGCAAAAGAAAAAATATTACAGAGAAAAGGAAATATTTGGGTTTAATCTATTAACTCCCAGATTTTTATTAAAATCTTAATATGTTTTTGATTAATCAGGATAACCGTTTTAATAATTTAACGCATCTTTAAAAGCAGAAATGCTACCAAGTATATATTAATTCCCAGAGCGACCTATGATCCAGGTTCTGAAGGAGGACATGTGCTTCAGGATACTGCACTCACTCTTTTGTCAGACTAAAATTTCCAGTGACATTTCCCAGTGCTTAGCCTGTGTTTGTGTTCACCGATTTTCAAAAGGTGACTTTTGAAAGTCACCTTTCAAGTCACCTTTGCAAGTCTTCTCCCAGTAATTAGAGGCATTTATCTTAAAGCTCATCGGGGTTTAGCAGGGAGGTTACAGGCTGTCATCTGCATTGTTATTGACTCCCTCAATCAGAGGCAATGGCATTTCACCTCCATGCAAAATATTAGTAGATTAACAGTCCCCACTCTGCATTCATTTGGGAAATATCTTCTGCTTGTGATGATGAATGTGACAAGCAGGGAGTAATCAGAGACACTCTGGTAATACCTTTAAGCCTTGCAATCAACAGTTAAAGAAAGCTCTGGCTCTGCAGCTTGCAGTTGGGCTTTGGTCTGTAGGGTAAATTTCTATTTTTATGACACGACACAGAAGTCAGCATTGCTAATTTCCAGGAGAAACAAGCAACAACCCCAACAAAAAAGAGCCAGAGAAACATCCACCCTGATTTTCTTGAATCTTTCATGTCACTCAATGTCTCTTTTAGACCATAAATGGACTCTGGCATTGTGAACAACTTTCATGTCAGATTTATAATTATCTGACATGACAACTTTGACTCAAAGGGCAAATTCTAATAAACATTTCTTTATAGTGATAAAAAGACTGCAAAGAGATTATTATTCAAATGTCGTTGACTGTCTCTTTCAATCTAAGGGCATTTTAGGCTAATGAAGAGATTTTTAACACAGTAAATTGTTAGGTCATAGGAGCTCTGTGGATGGGTTTCAGTAGATTTACCTAAAATTTATGGAAAGCATCTTATGTGCATTTTATTGGGATGGGCATCTATCACTTTCATCAGATTCTCCACAGCTTGTAACCCCACTAGACAAGAATCTCTGGTCTCGTGAGAAGAGCTAAGGGCTGAAGGGAGGGTTATGCCGAGGTCTGCTACCACCACGGAGCACCCCGAGCTGTTTTGGTTTTAGTGTCTTCTGCAAAATGCCTCAGCTGGCCAACGATCCTCTGTCTCCTCTATTCCATAATTGAATCTCTGATGTGTGGGGGTCATAAATTTAGCTGAGTTTTCACCTCCAGCTTCCTGTATTCTAATAACTGTACTAACCAGTGATTCAGCTTCATCCTTCTTTGGCACATTCAGTATTATTAACCACAAAACAAACTATTTATGAACAAAGTTAATATTTGCATTGTATAGATGGAGCAGAAAGATCGATGCCTTCCATTTTGAGACAATATCACTTCTTTATGACAAGTCAAACCCTTAATAACTTTTTGGGCCATCAGAATCTCATTTTTTTATGTGGTAACCTATGATAAAGTCTAACTTACAATTTAAGTCTAATATAACACTGTATCAATTCTGTTTATAAGCCTATCAATTTTATTAGGTTTTCAAAGACAGAACAGTTGAGAAACTGGGCCAATATTGCTTAAAATGATCAAAAAGTTATTTAAAAATACTTTAAAGTTCGGGGGCCACAGAATTCTAGTCAAGGTTAAAATTTATCATTTTTTGTAAAATCAATGAAACTAAAGTGAAAGTGTTTTTACCATCATGGCTTAATAAAGGCAAATCAGGTCAAAATTACCGATTATTTTTCATTGGATCTCCGCCCAAGAAAAGTTACCTTTTTAAGGTAAAAGGATTTCTAAATGAGAAAAACATAGGATAATTAGAAATCTGAAAGATTGTTCTTGTACTAGACATGTAAAATATATCTAACTTACTGTCATGATGAGCCCCTTTTCCTGGAAGTATTTAACCAGTGGAGCAGCGTTCTGCTTGAAGTTCATTAGTCTCCTTTGGGTAGCTTTCAGATTGTCATCAGGCCGTCCCTGTTGCTCTGCACGCTTCAGTAATCTTTCTTTGAGCCTCTGATTGGTACAGGCCAGGAACACCACTAAGTCGGGAGTACAGATCTGTGGAGAGCATCAAACAAGTAGACAGGCATTCAACATACCAACCAATGTGAGTGTGGGCAGTGGCATTTCTCTCTTCTGGGTCTGTGGAGGCTGCCATATTTTTGACCCTCTATGTTTTTGCCAGCATATTTCCAGGGCTACGGCTCCACACAAGGCCAGGAGGAGCTATTGTTATTACAGTCCATGTAAATGGTATACTTCAGCTCACAGAGTCGTGTACAGTGGCCCTCCAAATTTCTGGAAAATACTTTTGGTCTATGCTCAAATAAGTTTTCAAGTTTCAAGTTAAGATCAATATAGGCCAGACTCTGCCAAAGGTAGATGTGACCTGTTTAGAGGGGAAATGACTATTGAGCTACAGATATTCTCTACAGTAAACAAGTACTGCTGCTATTATTACTATGTGCTGCCCTTTTAAAAGTATGTACTGTATGCCAGGTCCAGTGCTAAGTTATTTCCTTATGCTGTTGCTAAACTTTACAACAATCTGCAAGGTAAATATTATCTCCATTTTAAAGATGAGCAAACTGAGGCTCTGAGAAATTAAGTACTTGTCTGAGGTCACATGGTCAGTAAGGTCAAAGATGATATTTGATCCCAGGTCTATCTGGTCTGTGGTCTGTGTTCCCTCCACTATTACAAAGAATCAAATGGCTCAAAGGCCTTCATAAATTTCTGAAAATACCAAGGAATAACATGAAAAGAACCTATGAACTAAACAGTTTTTATTTAACTCAATTAGAACTAGTAACGTATGTAAAAGATAACATGATCATTTAAAGTGAATGTACTTTCTTGTTGAAAATGGGACAAGAAAAAGAGGCAGTTTTGCATAGTGCTTTAAAGAAATGATCTCCAAAATTTTTTTATTGTATCCTCACATTAGTATATTATTTGAGCATCTACCTCAATAAATATATACTTATTAAATTATAAATTATGCATGAATGTATGATAGCCATGTACTACCATACTAATATATTGTATGTATTACATATATACATACATACATATGTATGTATGTAATATATTGTATAATAGTATGTATGTTGTAAAATACACACAAAAATACAATTTTAAAAGGATGACAGGGCTTCCCTGGTGGCACAGTGGTTGAGAGTCTGCCTGCCGATGCAGGGGACACAGGTTCCTGCCCCGGTTCGGGAAGATCCCACATGCCGCAGAGCGGCTGGGCGCGTGAGCCATGGCCGCTGAGCCTGCGCGTCCAGAGCCTGTGCTCCGCAATGGGAGAGGCCACAACAGTGAGAGGCCCGCGTACCGCAAAAAAAAAAAAAAAAAAAGGATGACATATGATAATCATAATTGTAACATTTTCTTCCCACACTACAGTGGTTTGCCTTGTGCACTCTTGAGACCACTGGTTAGAAAATGGACCCTGGAGTCTGGGAAACATGGATTACAATTCTTGCCCTAGCATTTATCAGCTGAGCTATGGGCATATGGCTTAACTTTACTAAGCCTCCATATCTTCATCTTTCAAAAGAGATACATGAACCTCCTCCCTGAGTTATTATAAAGATTAAATAAGATCAGCACAAACTTGATCAATGGTAGGTGCTCAACGAATTTTAGCCATGTTTACTATCTCTTGGTTTTCATGATTCTATATTGTCCTGGTTCTCATTTAACTTTTTGTTCTGTATTTTTTTTTTCTCTTTGCTCAAATTTTTTTCCGTAAAAATGTAACACTCACAAATAATGATGTTTATGAGCCTTAGATAATGTTTTGTCTTGTTTTTCCCTCTCCAGGTTCTTATTCTCTCAGCTCCCTTCCACTGTTCTGGTTTCAACCACCTATCTTTTGTTGATGGATTCCAAATGTTCATTTTCAGCACTGACTTTCAACAGCACTTATATCCTATATTATCAAATGCTTATATGACGGCTCTACCTGAAAGTCTTTTTTTTTTAAGTTTTTTTTGACGGGGATCATTTTTAAAGTCTTTATTGAATTTGTTACAGTATTGCTTCCGTTTCTATGTTTTGGTTTTTTGGCCGTGAGGCATGTGGGATCTTAGCTCCCCAACCAGGGATTGAACCCACACCCCCTGCACTGGAAGGCGAAGCCTTAACCACTGGACTGCCAGGGAAGTCCCTGAAAGTCTTAATATTACGTGTGACTCAGCAAGGCCAAATCAGTTCAGTACCTTTTTACCTGAATGAAATTCCCATCTTGCTTATATATGTATTTGTTTATTTATTTATTTTTATGGTAGCAACACTACTTTCCTGAATCTCTCAACTAGAAGTCTTTTTTAAAACTTTTTTTTAATTGAATGAAAGATTAAAAAAAAAAATTTATTTATTTATTTTTGGCTGCGTTGGGTCTTCGTTGCTGTGCGCAGGCTTTCTCTAGTTGCGGTGAGTAGGTACGGGAGCTACTCTTCGCTGTGATGCGTGGGCTTCTCATTGCAGTTGCGGAGCACGGGCTCTAGGCACACAGGCTTCAGTAGTTGTGGCTTGTGGGCTCTAGAGAGCAGGCTTAGTATTTGTGGTGCTCAGGCTTAGTTGCTCTGTGGCATGTGGGATCTTCCCGGACCAGGGCTCGAACCTGTGTCCTCTGCGTTGGCAGGTGGATTCTTAACCACTGTGCCACCAAGGAAGCCCTGAATGAAAGATTCTTTAAATTCTATAGTGTTTGACAATTTTCAAAAGTTTCACAAATGTGATTTCATATAATCCCATAATAACTCCTTTTAAAATTCCCTACTCTTACATCGCCCCTCCCCACCTCTCCCTGGTAACCACTAGTTTGTTCTCTATATCTGTGAGTCTGCTTCTTTTTTGTTTTATTCCCTAGTTTGTTGCATTTTTAGGATTCCACATATAAGTGATATCATATAGCATTTGTCTTTCTCTGTCTGATTTATTTCACTTAGCATAATGCCCTCCAAGTCTATCCATGTTGCTACAAGTGGCATATACACCACATCTTCATCCATTCATCTGCTGATGGACATTTAGGTTACTTCCGTACCTTGGCAATTATAAATAACGCTGCTATGAACATTGTATCTTTTCGAATTCTCAGCTATAAATCTTAGTATCATTTTTAACCCTTGTCAAAACTTCAATCTCTCAGAGCTATCACCATGGACTGTGGAGTTTGGTCTTGAGACACTATTCAGATTCCCCTTCCCCCAGTTCCTACTGCCACTGTGTAAGCACAGGCACATACTTGTATAAGTGATTAAGAGAATGAATTTTAGAATCAGATCATCCTGATTTTACATCTAGAATCTGCTATTAGTCATTTGTCCTTGGGCAAAAGGTTCAATATCTCTGAGCTTCAGTTTTCCCAACTATTTTTCCCTTCCCATCTCAGTAGTTTAATATGTCCCATAAAACACTTTTAAGTAGCTTTTGAGAACCCTTAACAATTTATAAAATCACTTTGTAATTTTTGTGTGATATATGGTAAAGAGATTATCTGAAGTTAAAACTTTTATACTATCAAATATTATAATGCAAAATTCAAATTAAATAAAATCTTTGGTAATATTCAGTCTTACCCAACATAACAAATGACATCCTTTTAAATTTACTTTGAATAGCATATAAGGGAGAAGACAATTTTTGACAAATAAATTAAAATGACAGGGCTTCCCTGGTGGTGCAGTGGTTAAGAATCTGCCGGCCAATGCAGGAGACATGGGTTTGAGCCCTCGTTTGGGAAGATCCCACATGCCGTGGAGCAACTAAGCCCGTGCGCCACAACTGCTGAGCCCACACACCACAACTACTGAAGGCCGTGCGCCTAGAGCCCATGCTCCTCAGCAAGAGAAGCTACCACAATAGAAGCCCTCGTATCACAAGAAAGAGTAGTCGCTGCTCGCCACAACTAGAGAAAGCCCGTGCGCAGCAGCAAAGACCCAACACAGCCAAAAATAAATAAATAAAAATAAATTTATTTTTAAAAAATTAAAATGACATTATATTGTTCTTGGTTTGGTCATATTGTATATTAAAATATGGAAAAAACTTCAACTACTAGCTCAGTGTTGAATGCAGGTAAAACTTGCATTTAGAAATTCTTGCATTTTGCATTTAAACAAATTAAATGCTTTACTTTAATACATTTTGTGTTTTGTTTCAGACTGCAATGTATGTGCTTCTCCCTACTTAACACAATGAGGTTATGGGGAGACTTAAATATGTAATCATCACTATGTTTTGTCTTTTAGAATTGGCTTTTGAAATTAGCTTGAAATTTATAAAAGACTTTTTTACACTTTGAATAAACCTGCATTTTGTTTATTTTAATTAATAGACTTAAAAAAAAGCAGTTACAAGTTTACAGGAAACAAGTAGAATATCTAAGATATTTGTTGTTGCTGTTGTTTCTTTAATTTCTCCCAATACTTTTTATTGCAGAGCTCCTTAGTTTTCTATGTAATGTTCTTGCCCATTTAAAAATTATTCCTACGTATTTGATATTTATTTTTATTTTTTAATATATTTTTTATATCTAAGATTTTTGATCAATGAATGCAACTTCAGGTCTGATATAGATGACTTTGAAATGAATCTGCAAAGTTATTTAATTTTATAATTGTAATTAACTTGCTGTCTTTTCTTGGTATAAACTAATCAGCGTATAACCAGTGATACAAAAAATTAAAACGTGGAACAGGTGAGACCTCCATGGCAGCTGGGATAAACAGCTAACTGCTCAACAGTGATCTCAGCCACAAGCATGCTCACCTGATTCCTAGTCACCCCCACATATGCCCACTCATTAGGACCCTCACATGCTCACCTGATTCCTAGTCACCCCCACATATGCCCACTCATTAGGACCCTCGTTCTCCAACAATGCTCAATTTTAAAAGAAAAAATTTAATTGTTTATGTTTTTTCCCCCCAAAATGTAAAATAGGAGCAGACACCATTCTTTCCCAGAAGATGTGAAGCACCTAGAAAGTTTTCATGAAATTCACTCATGAAACATTGAAAAGTATCACCAAAGTGGATCCT